GAGTCTCATGATTCTATACGTATTGCGATTCGATACTGTGATTTTATTGCGCACCATATGTCTGTTGCAGAGGGATCAGAAAGCCATGAGAACGAGTTTTGATCAGTCATGGAAATAAAAGTGCTGAAAACAAATTGGCTCCCAATGTGAAAAGATTGAGAACAAGCTATGAAGGAACAATAATGGTGTTTTGGTGCAGGTACAGCCAACTAGCGCTAAAATATTGCGATATTGTCAATACAGTATATCGTAAAGTATCACTATGTAACTCGATTTCTTTCACCCCAATCCCTCAAATTAACGGTAAATAACTGAATTGTTTGCCCCACATTTAGCTAAGATGATTAGCTAGCCAGCTAAAATGTTTTATTTAGTTAGCAGTCACATCTACAATAGTTTACTGTCAATAACATGTCTCCAAAAATGACGTGGTGTCTCCAATTGTGTTGACATTTTACAATTGCGATGCGCATCCATGAGTATCCACTTTCTGTAGCTCAGCTGGTAGAGCATGGCGCTTGTAACGCCAAGGTAGTGGGTTCGATCCCTGGGACCACCCATACACAAAAATGTATGCACGCATGACTGTAAGTCGCTTTGGATAAAAGCGTCTGCTAAATGGCATATTATTATTATTATTATTATTATCTGAAGAGAGCCCCGAAACATTGTGTGCAGACATTTTATGCAATAAATGAAGTAGGTTGAATCTAGTAGTTCTGATCTTCTGATTGGTCCTGATGAGTTGGGCGAGGTCCCCTCCAGGCTACTGTCACTGTTGCATTGGCTCTGAGTCGGGTTCTCTGTCTTCAAATGTTCAGCCTAAGAGAGGGGATTTTTGTGTGTGTGTGTGTGTGTGTGTTTAACAGTGATGATGTGTGTGTGTGTGTGTTTAACAGTGATGATGTGTGTGTGTGTGTGTTTGTGTGTGTGTGTGTGTGTGTCCTCAGAGCAAGAACTCGTGAGTTGGAAGAACTGAGAGGCCTATGGCGTGGGTGTTGTCCTTGGCCACCTGCTGACAAGGCTGACAAGATAGGACCCTTTTGTCCATTGTTATTGGATAGGAACAGAACTTATAACCAGCTCCTGACCTAAATAGATCTTAGCACAACATTTTACTCAACATATCATATTCCATATTCACTATAACAAATATATTTACTACGACATTAGCAAGAACCGCCACATCCTCAGCCGGCTAATCCAGTGTGTGAAGTTTTGCGGAGTGTTTGAGTTAGCTTTGCGAGGCAAAGATGAAACTGAGGGCTCCACCAACCCTGGTAAGCCAACACTTTTGAGATCAGTCAATAAATGCTTCTGGTATTGACTTATATGCTGCCCCTGTCTTCATGTTGTTGCTGGACATATCTTTTTTAAAATGTGTGTAGGTCACCTAAATCATCAGAAAAATTGCCCCCCCTGAGAATTTTTTCAGGAGCCGCCACTGGTTGGATAAATCCAATGTATGCACCACACAGAACGCTTAGCACTGCCTCTGCCTCTGCAACGCAATGCTGCAAGGCAAATGCAGCATTACATTGTAAATTACTGTACTTCTGGTGTACCAAAGTGCAATGACACGTTGGTCTGATCGAGGTGTTATGCCCCGTTTACATCGTGAACGGCGAGCATAGGATGGGGTTTCACGACACAAGACAAGATGGAGGAGAGTCTCTCATCAGAAAGCACATTTATTTCGGGAGATATATGCAAAATATTACCTTTCATTCAAAACAGGAGAAACATATTGTTTCAGTTGATAATAAAACATGTTCTTTGATGGACTGTAACCCGACTGAAGAGAAGGGTCAGTGCTATCCGGGATCCTTGGGACGTCCCTACCATAAACTCTATCCTTAACCCTAACCATTTCAAATTCTAACTTCAATAGCGTAGGGACGTCCCAAGGGTCCCGGTAGCACGGACCACTGAAGATGACGCAGAGTTTGGAAAAATCCTAAGTATGCGGTGGCCATCTCCCAAGTGCTGATTGATAATGTGATTAACGAGCGCTTTCAAGTGCAACTTTAATAAAGATAGTTTGTGGAAACAGCTCAGAGATATAACGTCTAGATATGCGGCCTGTGAAGAGAGACACGCATACTCACTGACTAGCTAGCACACGCACGTTTTAATATTGTTTTATGGTGGTATTGTACATTTTGTGCTGTGAATAAGTAGTGTTGTGGTGATGTTATGTGATGTACTGCTTTATTTCATTTTTTGTTTGTTTATTTTGTGATGTGCCATAATGTGACTGGACCCCAGGAAGAGTAGCTGGACCCGGTTGCATAAACCATCTTAAGTGTTTGCGTTAAGGGTGTACCTTAAGGAATTGTTTAAGGGCAGTGCATAGAGCCCCTCAAATATTTTCTTAGGTAAGGGCATACTTAAGGGGTTTCATGGTAGTTTGAAGGCATTTATGGCAGAAAGAGTATCTGCTTACCATTTAGATCTTCAAAGATATCTATTTAATTTTGTGAGATAGCAAAATAGAACTTCTATAATCAAGACAGGATAACCAAATTGCTTCAGAAGATAATAAACCACGTTTCTTGTAATAACATTTTTCTCAACTTGTTTATATTACTTTGTAGTATGTCAAGCTAGTTTACAGAGGATTTTTTAACTTAAGGTGTTTTATACAACCAGGCCCTGCTGACTTGGCACCAGCTAATGGGATCCTTAATAAATACCAAAACATTTTAAAACGTCTCAATACCGAGCCAGCTAGCTGCTAAGCTATTAGCAACCCATAGGCTTAGCAGGCTAGTCTTTACGCCGTTAGCTTAGCATTAGCATATTTAGTTTTTTTATACAACTTTCTAATATATCACACTTGGGTGGGGAGATGTCAGGGCCTTTACAATATCATTGAAATGAAGTTGAAAAGAAACCACAATATTATCTTAGAGGAGCTATAAATCAAAATGTTCAAACCAAAATATTAGCAGGCGCCATCTTGTCTAATGTTATTCCATTGTCTAGCCTAAAATTCTTATAGTTTTGCCTAATTTCAGTTTATGTGAAAAAACAAGCAGTCATTGTGAAGAGAATCATTGTACCATCTAAACCGCTGAGAAAAATGTTTTCTATAACCAAAAATATTGTATTTTCAGCTGTTTGAAGCTGATGTACAAAACCGAAAGTAAAAGATGTAAAAACAACATTTAAGAATGGAAAGCATAGAAATAGTTTACATACAACAGATGAATGACAGATCTATAACATGCATTTCTATGTGCATTTGATTGGGTCACCCAAAAAGTAACATACTCTATATTTGTAGCTTTAAACTTTATTCACATAAAAGGTAAGCGTTACTCAGATAACCATTTCGACTAACAGGCGTCTTCCTCTAGTGTTAGTGGGGGGACACAAACCGCTGCTCTCGCGCTCCTACCACACCCACTGCTGGCGGCAACAGGTATAAACAATTCCCAATGGAAATCCTTGGAGGACTCGCCCAAAAATAAGAGTGTATTACAACAACAATATCTGAAACTTTTTATACATAAAATGTGATACCATCACCTTATGGGCGTCACAATCCATCCACAGTGCACGAGTGGTTTGATGAGTATGAAAACGATGTAAACCATATGCCATGGCCTTCTCAGTCATCAGATCTCAACCCAATTGAACACTTATGGGAGATTCTGGAGAGGCGCCTCAGACAGCGTTTTCCACCACCATCAACAAAACACAAAATTATGGAATTTCTCGTGGAAGAATTGTGTCGCATCCCTCCAATAGAGTTCCAGACAGTTGTAGAATCTATGCCAAGGTGCATTGAAGCTGTTCTTGCTCGTGGTGTCCCAACGCCCTAGTTACACACTTTATGTGGATGTTTCTATTGGATGGATGTGGTGTCAGAGAAAGGCCCCAAAAATTGTCAAAGACTCCAGCCAACCAAGCCATAGACTGTTCTCTCTGCTACCGCACGGCAAGCAGTACCTGTGCACCTAGTTTGGAACCAACAGGACCCTGAACAGCTTCTACCCCCAAGCCATAACATTGCTAAACAAGACTGCTAAATTGCTAATCGACTGGCTAGCCGGATTACCGGCATTGACCCTTTTTTGCACTAACTCTCTTGCACTGACTCTACCCACACATACTTACACCCCAACACACACATGAATACGGACGCCACACACACTCATGTTCAGTCATCACATATGCTGCTGGTACTGTCTATCTATCCTGTTGCCTAGTCACGTTACCCCCACATACTTGTACATAGCTACCTCAATTACCTCGTACCCCTGCATTACCTCGTGTCACTATTTCTATTGTATCTTTAACCTCTAAAAGTCTAAGCCGTTTAGGACCATTTTAGGTATGAAAAACAAAATATATTATCAAATATTGATTTTGGCCTTTACTACTATAGCCCATAGAAACATATTGAAATACACATTCATTAATGGCAAAAGACAGTCAAAAAATTTATCATAAGCAATCAAGTTTTGAAGAGTGTCATATCTAGGCGTTAAGAAAGTTCAGGATTTATTTTTGTTGTTGACACATTTAACCCCTTATTTTTGGTGGCACAAAACTACCTCCATACTTCCATTCGTTTGTATGGGTTCCCTTCACAGGAGTCCTGTGACACTTGTGGGGGTCGTAGAGCAAAACAGAGAACACCGTGTTCAAGAGTCTCCCCTTTCCATAGAGTGGTCATAATAGTTTGTAGGCCAAACGTTTCTGAGAAGACCACCTTCCACTGCAGATGCAAAAGGCTGACATATGCGGATGCGGTGGATTGAGATACAGCCCATGCAAAGAAACTGATATCTCTAGCTTAAACTGATGGATTTTGATGGGGATTTCTTAAATTATGTTACTTCGATTGACTCACGGGTGCGTCAATAGACTCTTAAATGAACTCTGCATTGTTGGAAAAGGACCCGTTAGTAAGCATTTCACCATTAGTCTAACCTGGTTGTTTACAAAGCGTGACAGATAAAATGTGATTTGATCAATTTGATTTGATTTCCTTTATTCTGGCAGTTACCTGTGTGATCTTTGAGCCTGACTATCATTGTCATGCCACATACAGATCTTGGAAGATGCTTGTTTTCTTAAGAAGATATCTTATATCTAAGGCAATTAAATGGTAAGGTTTTCAGTTTGTTGTTTATTGAAGAATCATCCAGAGCAGTTTTCAACAGTTGTAACACATACACAGGAAGTGAATCATGACTAACTATTTACGGCGTATATCTCGTTCAAGCAAATGACAGAGGAGTAAAAAAAACAATACCATGGTCAAATTAATGGTCGCATTAACTTCTTTACAGAGCTGGTATCAGGTACATTTCTCTTCTCCAAGAATACCCTTGCAGATTCAATTGAAGGACATTATATTTCACAATTCCATAAAAAATGATGTTCAACAAAATATCCTGTTTTCATTTTATTTTCCCAACAGCAATGTGCTTTAAAACTCTGCATACATTGCAAATATGCAAATATTCTGTACTACTAGTGAACCGTAGTCCACTCCTCAGCCCAGGCAAGTGTGTCTGTGTGTGTGTGTCCCCGAAGACTGCAATTATGCTGCTACTCTCTACCACAGACTTTGAAAGGAGAGAACATGGGGTGTCTGTCCCTGGTTAATGGACAGAGGGACATGGAGTCAGAGAAACAGATCAATAACACACACACAGTGTCTGTCTGTCCATCTTTAGAAGGTGTTTTTGATCTTGGAGGCGACCTGCGTGAGGATCTCTCCTATCTTCTTCTGCCAGTAGAGGACATGTTTGGATTCAGCACACCACAGCTCCCCGTGACGCGGCTCAGCATTCTCACAACGCTTACGCACCTCTTCCTGCTGCTCCTACAGGGGACACAGAGAGAGGGGAGAGGGGTGAGACGCATAGAACAACACAGAGCCCCCCACACACATACAAGCTCATTCAGACACACACACACATACCTCTGTGCCGTGTTGCATCTCAAACTTGTAGAAGAGGGCCCAGGCGTCTCCCAGGTCTGGCTCAATCTTCACTGTCCTCAGGAACCACTCTCTGGCCTTAGTGATCTTACGCTCGCTCCAGAACAGCCTGTGATACACACACACACACACGCCAGCTGGTTACCGCCAGATTACAACTAAGATGTTGACAGAGGGAGAGGAGATAGTGGGCATGTGTTGTACTGGTAGAGTGAAAGCAAGGGAGAGAGTGAGGGAGAGTTTAAACTACTGAAGGAATGAAAGCAGAGAGAAGGAGAGTTTAACCTACTGAAGGAATGAAAGCAGAGAGAGAGAGAGAGTTTAACCTACTGAAGGAATGAAAGCAGAGAGAAGGAGAGTTTAAACTACTGAAGGAATGAAAGCAGAGAGAGAGAGAGTTTAACCTACTGAAGGAATGAAAGCAGAGAGAGAGAGAGTTTAACCTACTGAAGGAATGAAAGCAGAGAGAAGGAGAGTTTAAACTACTGAAGGAATGAAAGCAGAGAGAGGGACAGTTTAACCTACTGAAGGAATGAAAGCAGAGAGGGAGAGTTTAACCTACTGAAGGAATGAAAGCAGAGAGGGAGAGTTTAACCTACTGAAGGAATGAAAGCAGAGAGAGGGACAGTTTAACCTACTGAAGGAATGAAAGTTTCAAGTTTTAAAGTCACATGCACAAGTACAGTGAAATGCCTTTCTTGCAAACTCAAAACCCAACAATGCAATGATCAATAACATAATACTAGAAAGAAACACACACGAGAAATAAGAAATATGAAGAACACAATAAGTAAGTAAGCAAGCATACTATTTACAGGGTCAGTTCCAATACCATACAGGGATACTGGAGTGATGGAGGTAGATATGTATACAGGAAATAAGATAAACAGATTAGCAGCAGCTTGTATGTGAGTGGGTGTGCGTGTGTGTAGAGTCAGTATAAATGTATGTGCATATTATGTGTGAGTGAGAAGATGGAGTGAGTGTGTGTGAGTGTGTTGGCCCTGTGAGTGCATAGAGAAAAGATAAAAAGGTCAATGAGGATACGAGGTTAACTCAGATAGTCTGTGTAACTATTTTGTTAGCTATTTATCAGTCGTATTGCTTGGGGATAGAAGCTGTTCAAGAACCTATTGGTGCCAGACTTGATGCACCGGTACCACTTGCCGTACGGAAGCAGAGAGAATAGTCTATGGCTTCGGTAATTGGAGTCTAACCATTTTCAGGGCATTCCTAACACACCGCCTGATATAGATGTCCTAGATGGCAGGGAGCTCGGCCCCAGCGATGTACTGCACTGTCCGCACCACCCACTGTAGCGCCATGCAAACGAGGGTGGTCATATTGCCATACCAGGCAGTGATGCAGCCAGTTAAAATGTTCTCAATGGTACAGCTGTAGATATGTCAAACTATTTCAACCTACAGATGGGGAAGAGGCGCTGTCGCGCCTTCTTCACGACTGTGCACGTGTTTGGACCATTAGTGATCTTTAGTGATTTGGACACAGAGGAACTTAAAGCTCTCGACCTGCTCCACTGCAGCCCAGTCGATGTGGATGTTGGCGTGCTCGCCCCCCCCCCCCCCCCTTTCCTGTTGTCCACGATCAGCTCCTTGGTCTTACTGACGTTGAGGGAGAGGTTGTTGTTCTGGCACCACACTGCTAAGTCTCTGACCTCCTCCCTGTAGGCTGACTCATCGTCGCCGGTGATCAGGCCTCCCACCTTCATGTCGTGGGTGAACAGGGAATACAGGATGGGACTAAGCACACACCTCTGTGTTGAGGGTCAGCATGGCGGAGGTGATGTTGCCTTGTCAGGAAGTCCCGGATCCAGTTGCAGAGGGAGGTGTTCAGACCCAGAGTCGTAAGCTTGGCGACAAGCTTGGAGGTGACAATGGTGTTGAACGCTGAGCTGTAGTCAATGAACAGAATACTCACATTGGTATTCATCTTATCTATGTGGGCGAGGGCAGTGTGGAGAGCAATTGAGATGGCGTCATCTATGGATCTGTTGGGGCGGTATGCAAATTGGAGTGTGTCTAGGGAGTCTGGGATGGTGGAGTTAATGTGTGCCATAACCAGCCTCTCAATGCATTTCATGATTACAGAAGTGAGTGCTACAGGGCGTTAGTCATTGTGCGAGATCACCCAATCCTCTGGGTCGGTGACGGCCCTCACACCCGGCACAATGTTGTTGTTGTCAAAGCGTGCATGAAATGCATTGAGTTCGTCTGGTAGAAAGGCATCGTTGGGCAGATCACGGTTGGGTCATCCTTTGTAATTCATAATGGATTGTAGCCCCTGCCACATGCGGTGGGAGTCAGAACCTGTGTAGTATGATTCCACCTTATTCCTATATTGTCCTTTGGCTCATTTGATGACTCTGAGGAGGGCATAGCGGGACTTCTTATACTTGTTTCTGTCCTTGGTCGTAGCCTCAGGGTTGTCTACGATAGCTCTGTGTGCGGTAACCCTGGCCTTTATTTTAGTGCCAACCTCTGTGTTAATCCAGGGCTTTTGATTGGGGAAGCAGCGAACCCTCACCGTGTGGCAATGTCGCAGATACATTTTCTAATGAAGCCGGTGACAGAGGTGGTTAGCTCGTCAATGTTATCGGCGGAGTCTCAAAACATATTCCAATCAGCGCTAGCAAAGCAGACCTGTAGCATAACCTCTGATTCTGGTGACCTTTTCTCAACTGAGCGAGTCACGGGTACTTCCTGTTTGAGTTTCTACTTGTAAACAGGAAGCAGGAGTCATGATCTGATTTGCCGAATGGCGGACGAGGGAGGGCCTTGTATGCTTGCTTGAGGGTAGAATAACAGTGGTCTAGGACTTTATCGCCCTAGTGGCGTTGGAGACGTGTTGATGGAAGTTGGGCATCACGTGTCTAAGTGATGCGGAATTAAAAATCGCCGGCAACCAGAAAAGCAGCCTCGGGATATAGGTTTTCATCAAATCAATTGTTATTTGCCACATGCGCCGAATACAACAGGTGTAGACTTTTCAGTGAAATGCTTACTTACAAGCCCTTAACCAACAATGCAGTTGTAAGAAAATAAAAAAGTGTTACGTAAAAAATTGATAAGTAAAAAATATCTTAAAATAAAAAATAATTAAAGAGCAGCACTAAAATAAAATAACAGTAGGGAGGCTATATACAGGGGGTACCAGTACAGAGTCAATGTGCGGGGGCACCGGTTAGTCGAGGTAATTGAGGTAATATGTACATGTGGGTAGAGTTAAAGTGACTATGCATAGATTATAAACAGAGTAGCAGCAGCGTAAAAGAGGGGGTGGGAGGGATAATGCAAATCGTCCAGGTAGCCATGATTAGCTGTTCAGGAGTCTTATGGCTTGGGGGTAGAAGCCTTTTGGACCTAGACTTGCCGTGCAGTAGCAGAGAGAACAGTCTATGACTAGGGTGGATAGAGTCTGACAATTTTTAAGGTCATCCTCTGACACTGCCTGGTATAGAGGTCCTGGATGGCAGGAAGCTTGGCCCCAGTGATGTACTGGGCCGTACGCACAACCCTCTGTAGTGCCTTGCGGTCGGATGCCGAGCAGTTACCATACCAGGCGGTGATGCAACCAGTCAGGATGCTCTTGATGGTGCTGCTGTAGAATTCTTTGAGGATCTGAGGACCCATGCCAAATCTTTTCAGTCTCCTGAGGGGGAATAGGCTTTGTCGTGCCCTCTTTACGACTGTCTTGGTGTGTTTGGGCCATGATAGTTTGTTGGTGATGTGGACACCAAGGAACTTGAAAGCTCTCAACCTGTTCCACTACAGTCCAGTCGATGAGAATGGGGGCGTGCTCAGTCCCCTTTTTTTCTCTGTAGTCCACAATCATCTCCTTTATCTTGATCACGTTGAGGGAGAGGTTGTTATCCTGGCACCACACGGCCAGGTCTCTGACCTCCTCCCTATAGGCTGTCTCATTGTTGTCGGTGATCAGGCCTACCACTGTTGTGCCGTCGGCAAACTTAAATGATGGTGTTGGAGTCGTGCCTGGCCATGCAGTCATGGGTGAACAGGGAGTACAGGAGGGGAACTTCAGATGGCCCTGTATATGTGCTTTCTTGAGCAGGGGGACCTTGCGGGCGCTGCAGGATTTCAGTCCTTCACGGCGTAGTGTGTTACCAATTGTTTTCTTGGTGACTATGGTCCCAGCTGCCTTGAGATCATTGACAAGATCCTCCCGTGTAGTTCTGGACTGATTCCTCACCATTCTCATGATCATTGCAACTCCACAAGGTGAGATCTTGCATGGAGCCCCAGGCCGAGGGAGATTGACAGTTATTTTGTGTTTCTTCCATTTGCGAATAATCGCACCAACTGTTGTCACCTTCTCACCAAGCTGCTTGGCGATGGTCTTGTAGCCCATTCCAGCATTGTGTAGGTCTACAATCTTGCCCCTGACATCCTTGGAGAGCTCTTTGATCTTGGCCATGGCGGAGAGTTTGGAATCTGATTGATTGATTGCTTCTGTGGACAGGTGTCTTTTATACAGGTAACAAGCTGAGATTAGGAGCACTCCCTTTAAGAGTGTGCTCCTAATCTCAGCTCGTTACCTGTATAAAAGACACCTGGGAGCCAGAAATCTTTCTGATTGAGAGGGGGTCAAATACTTACAGTGGGGAGAACAAGTATTTGATACACTGCCGATTTTGCAGGTTTTCCTACTTACAAAGCATGTAGAGGTCTGTAATTTTTATCATTAAAATGCAAATCAATTTATAATATTTTTGACATGTGTTTTTCTGGATTTTTGTTGTTATTCTGTCTCTCACTGTTCAAATAAACCTACCATTAAAATTATAGCCTGATCATTTCTTTGTCAGTGGGCAAACGTACAAAATCAGCAGGGGATCAAATACTTTTTTCCCCTCACTGTAGCACACCAGTTGGTGTTGATGTAGAGGCAAACCCCTCCCCCCCTCGATTTCCCCGACTCCACTGTCCTGTCCGCCCGGTGAATGGAGAATCCATCGAGTTGGATAGCCATGGGGGTATCTTGTCTGAGAGCCATATTTCACAAAAGCAAAGGATATTGCAGTTTCAAGAGCAAAGAGAGGGAGAGTTTAACCTACTGAAGGAATGAAAGCAGAGAGAGGGAGAGTTTGTCCTACTGAGACAGTACAAAGGGGAAGGTTGTCATTGCAAAGATGGGGGGGGGGGGGGGGGGGGAGTTTGTGAGAGAGAAAGAGTGGAAGATGAATATTCTGTAGTTTGGTAGTGTGTGTGTCGTACTTGGCCACGGCTAGCAGGACGTGTGGGTCGTGTTCACACTTCTTCAGAGCATCAACACTCTTCGTCTTCCTCTGGGGCCGTGCCTCCAGAAACACTGCCTCAGCCCACAGGATACCTACAGAGAGACAGAGAGCGAGAGAGATACATGTAAATACAATATGTAAGAGTATTTTCTCCACCCTGAACTGTTGATCATGATTAAATATAGACATACTGTGCCTTGCAAAAGTATTCATCCCACTTGGCGTTTTTCCTATTTTGTTGCATTACAAACTGTAATTTAAATGGATTTTTATTTGGATTTCATGTAATGGACATACACAAAATAGTCCAAATTGGTGAAGTGAACTGAAAGAAATTACTAGTTTCAAACAATTCTAAAAAATAAATAACAGAAAAGTGGTGTGTGCATATGTATTCACCCCCTTTGCTATGAAGCCCCTAAATAAGATCTGGTGCAACCAATTACCTTCAGAAGTCACATAATTAGTTAAATAAAGTTCACCTGTGTGCAATATAAGTGTCACATGATCTCAGTATATATACACCTGTTCTGAAAGGCCCCAGAGTCTGCAACACCACTAAGCAAGGGGCACCATGAAGACCAAGGAGCTCTCCAAACAGGTCAGGGACAAAGTTGTGGAGAAGTACACATCAGGGTTGGGTTATAATAAAATATCAGAAACTTTGAACATCCCACAGAGCACCATTAAATCCATTATTAAAAATAGGAAAGAATATGGCACCACAACAAACCTGCCAAGAGAGGGCCGTCCACCAAAACTCATGGACCAGGCAAGGAGGGCATTAATCAGAGAGCCAACAAAGAGACCAAAGACAACCCTGAAGGAGCTGCAAAGCTCAACAGCGGAGATTGGAGTATCTGTCCATAGGACCACTTTAAGCCATACACTCCACAGAGCTGGGCTTTACGGAAGAGTGGCCAGAAAAAATACATTGCTTAAAGAAATAAATAAGCAAACACGTTTGGTGTTCGCCAAAAGGAATGTGGGAGACTCCCCAAACATATGGAAGAAGGTACTCTGGTCAGATGAGACTAAAATTGAGCTTTTTGGCCATCAAGGAAAACGCTATGTCTGGCGCAAACCCAACACCTTTTATCAGCAGGGACAGGGTAACTGGTCAGAATTGAAGGAATGATGGATGGCGCTAAATACAGGGAAATTCTTGAGGGAAACCTGTTTCAGTCTTTCAGAGATTTGAGACTGGGACAGAGGTTCACCTTCTAGCAGGACAATGACCCTAAGCATACTGGTAAAGCAACACTCGAGTGGTTTAAGGGGAAACATTTAAATGTATTGGAATGCCCTAGTCAAAGCCCAGACCTCAATCCACTTGAGAATCTGTGGTATGACTTAAAGATTGCTGTACACCAGCGGAACCCATCCAACTTGAAGGAGCTGGAGCAGTTTTGCCTTGAAGAATGGGCAAAAATCCCAGTGGCTAGATGTGCCAAGCTTATAGAGACATACCCCAATAGACTTGCAGCTGTAATTGCTGCAAAAGGTGGCTGTAAAAAGTATTGACTTTGGGGGGGTGAATAGTTATGCACGCTCAAGGTCAGTTTTTTTGTTTGTTTCACAAGAAAAAATATTTTGCATCTTCAAAGTGGTAGGCATGTTTTTATGTGTGTTTTTTTTAGTGGGTAGATCAGCTTTAAAATTGCAGATAGATTGTAACTTCCATCAATGTAATTGTCTGCATCAATTCCAATCCCCCCTATTTTTTTCCCCTTATATATATATATATGCACACACATATACAGTGGGGGAAAAAAGTATTTAGTCAGCCACCAATTGTGCAAGTTCTCCCACTTAAAAAAATCAGAGAGGCCTGTAATTTTCATCATAGGTACATATCAACTATGACGAAGAATTGAGAGAAAAAATCCAGAAAATCACATTGTAGGATTTTTTATGAATTTATTTGCAAATTATGGTGGAAAATAAGTATTTGGTCACCTACAAACAAGCAAGATTTCTGGCTCTCACAGACCTGTAACTTCTTCTTTAAGAGGCTCCTCTGTCCTCCACTTGTTACCTGTATTAATGGCACCTGTTTGAACTTGTTATCAGTATAAAAGACACCTGTCCACAACCTCAAACAGTCACACTCCAAACTCCACTATGGCCAAGACCAAAGAGCTGTCAAAGGACACCAGAAACAAAATTGTAGACCTGCACCATGCTGGGAATACTGAATCTGCAATAGGTAAGCAGCTTGGTTTGAAGAAATCAACTGTGGGAGCAATTATTAGGAAATGGAAGACATTCAAGACCACTGATAATCTCCCTCGATCTGGGGCTCCACGCAAGATCTCACCCCGTGGGGTCAAAATGATTACAAGAACGGTGATCAAAAATCCCAGAACCACACGGGGGGACCTAGTGAATGACCTGCAGAGAGCTGGGACCAAAGTAACAAAGCCTACCATCAGTAACACACTATGCCGCCAGGGACTCAAATCCTGCAGTGCCAGACGTGTCCCCCTGCTTAAGCCAGTACATGTCCAGGCCCGTCTGAAGTCTGCTAGAGTGCATTTGGATGATCAAGAAGAGGATTGGGAGAATGTCATATGGTCAGATGAAACCAAAATAGAACTTTTTGGTAAAAACTAAACTCGTCGTGTTTGGAGGACAAAGAATGCTGAGTTGCATCCAAAGAACACCATACCTACTGTGAAGCATGGGGGTGGAAACATCATGCTTTGGGGCTGTTTTTCTGCAAAGGGACCAGGACGACTGATCCGTGTAAAGGAAAGAATGAATGGGGCCATGTATCGTGAGATTTTGAGTGAAAACCTCCTTCCATCAGTAAGGGCATTGAAGATGAAACGTGGCTGGGTCTTTCAGCATGACAATGATCCCAAACACACCGCCCGGGCAACGAAGGAGTGGCTACGTAAGAAGCATTTCAAGGTCCTGGAGTGGCCTAGCCAGTCTCCAGATCTCAACCCCATAGAAAATCTTAGGAGGGAGTTGAAAGTCTGTGTTGCCCAGCGACAGCCCCAAAATATCACTGCTCTAGTTAAGATCTGCATGGAGGAATGGGCCAAAATACCAGCAACAGTGTGTGAAAACCTTGTGAAGACTTACAGAAAACGTTTGACCTGTGTCATTGCCAACAAAGGGTATATAACAAAGTATTGAGAAACTTTTGTTATTGCCCAAATACTTATTTTCCACCATAATTTGCAAATAAATTCATTTAAAATCCTACAATGTGATTTTCTGGATTTTTTTTCTCATTTTGTCTGTCATAGTTGACGTGTACCTATGATGACAATTACAGGCCTCTCGCATCTTTTTAAGTGGGAGAACTTGCACAATTGGTGGCTGACTAAATACTTTTTTCCCCCCACTGTTTGTTTGTTTGTTTGTTTGTTTGTTTGTTTGTTTGTTTGTTTGTTTGTTTGTTTGTATGTATGTATATATATATATATATATATATATATATATATATATCTCTCCTTTTAAAAAATATATTTCCCTTTAATACTTTCCAACCCCACCACCCCTTCCCTAATTGGAGTAAACTAGTGAACAACAATGCTTAGGCCTCTACTTCCAGCTTATACATAATACAGTGTGGGAAAAAAAGTATTTGATCCCCTGCTGATTTTGTACATTTGTCCACTGACAAAGAAATGATCAGTCTATAATTTTAATGGTAGGTTTATTTGAACAGTGAGATACAGAATAACAACAAAGAAATTCATAAAAACGCATGTCAAAAATGTTATAAATTGATTTGCATTTTAATGAGGGAAATAAGTATTTGACCCCTCTGCAAATCGTGTGTTTTGGGTCATTGTCATGCTGGAATACCCATCCACGACCCATTTTCAATGCCCTGGCTGAGGGAAGGAGGTTCTCGCCCAAGATTTGATGGTACATGGCCCCGTCCATCGTCCCTTTGATGCGGTGAAGTTGTCCTGTCCCCTTAGCAGAAAAACACACCCAAAGCATAATGTTTCCACCTCCATGTTTGACGGTGGGGATGGTGTTCATGGGGTCATTGGCAGCATTCCTCATCCTCCAAACACGGCGAGTTGAGTTGATGCCAAAGAGCTCGATTTTGGTCTCATCTGACCACAACACTTTCACCCAGTTCTCCTCTGAATCATTCAGATGTTCATTGGCAAACTTCAGACGGGCCTGTATATGTGCTTTCTTGAGCAGGGGGACCTTACGGTGCTGTAGGATTTCAGTCCTTCACAGCATAGTGTGTTACCAATTGTTTTCTTGGTGACTATGGTCCCAGCTGCCTTGAGATCATTGACAAGATTCTCCCGTGTAGTTCTGGGCTGATTCCTCACCGTTTTCATGATCATTGCAACTCCACGAGGTGAGATCTTGCATGGAGCCCCAGGCCGAAGGAGATTGAAAGTTATTTTGTGTTTCTTCCATTTGCGAATAATTGCACCAACTGTTGTCACCTTCTCACCAAGCTGCTTGGCGATGGTCTTGTAGCCCATTCCAGCCTTGTGTAGGTCTACAATCTTGTCCCTGACATCCTTGGAGAGCTCTTTGGTCTTGGCCATGGTGGAGAGTTTGGAATCTGATTGATTGTTGCTTCTGTGGACAGGTGTCTTTTATACAGGTAACAAGCTGAGATTAGGAGCACTCCTTTTAAGAGTGTGCTCCTAATCTCAGCTCGTTACCTGTATAAAAGACACATGGGAGCCAGAAATCTTTCTGATTGAGAGGGGGTCAAATACTTATTTCCCTCATTAAAATGCAAATCAATTTATAACATTTTTGACATGCGTCTTTCTGGATTTTTTTGTTGTTATTCTGTCTCTCACTGTTCAAATAAACCTACCATTAAAATTATAGACTGATCATTTCTTTGTCAGTGGGAAAACGTACAAAATCAGCAGGGGATCAAATACTTTTTTCCCTCACTGTATGTCCTCGTTAAAAACAAGTTATCATCCAATAGGCTTTGATTAAATTTCCAATATCCTCGCCCACATGGAAATTGAGTAAGAGTAATGTATATGCCAATTATATGATGGTCCGACTGCATTCTGTCCCCTATCAACACTTTTTACACTTTTGGTGCCAACGAGAATGACATAAGAAAGAAGTCAAGACGACTAGCTTGATTGAGTCTCCGCCATGTAGATCTCACTAGATCAGGATATTTAAGCCTCCATATATCTACTAGTTCTAATGTATCCATGACATTCACGATTTCCTTAAGAGCATGAGGGTGATAGTTTGTAGTGTGATTTCCTTTACGGGTCCATTGAGCTATTCAAAACGGTATTATAATCTCCCACCATAATAATAGAGTATTGTATTGCTTGCAAGGTTGATAATTTATTATACATTGGCTTGCGAAAGTATTCACCCCCTTGGCATTTTTCCTATTTTGTTGCCCTACAACCTGGAATTAAAATTGATTTGGGGTGGGGGGGGTGGGGGGGGGGGTTGTATCATTTGATTTACACAACATGCCTAGCACTTTCAAGATGCAAAATATTTTCAATTGTGAAACAAACAAGAAATAAGACAAAAATAACTGAACTTGAGCGTGCATAACTATTCACCCCCCCCAAAGTCAATACTTTGTACAGCCACCCTTTGCAACAATTACAGCTGCAAGTCTCTTGGGGTATGTCTCTATAAGCTTGGCACATCTAGCCACTGGGATTTTTGCCCATTCTTCAAGGCAAAACTGCTCCAGCTCCTTCAAGTTGGATGGGTTCCGCTGGTGTACAGCAATCTTTAAGTCATACCACAGATTCTCAATTGGATTGAGGTCTGGGCTTTGACTAGGGCATTCCAAGACATTTAAATGTTTCCCCTTAAACCACTCGAGTGTTGCTTTAGCAGTATGCTTAGGGTCATTGTGCTGCTGGAAGGTGAACCTCCGTCCCAGTCTCAAATCTCTGGAAGACTGAAACAGGTTTCCCTCAAGAATTTCCCTGTATTTAGCGCCATCCATCATTCCTTCAATTCTGACCAGTTTCCCAGTCCCTGCCGATGAAAAACATCCCAACAGCATGATGCTGCCACCACCATGCTTCACTGTGGGATGATGTTCTCGGGGTGATGAGAGGTGTTGGGCTTGCGCCAGACATAGCGTTTTCCTTGATGGCCAAAAAGCTCAATTTTAGTCTAATCTGACCAGAGTACCCTTTTCCATATGTTTGGGGAGTCTGTCTCCACATTCCTTTTGGCAAACACCAAACTTGTTTGCAAATGTTTTTCTTTAAGCAATGGCTTTTTTCTGGCCACTCTTCCGTAAAACCCAGCTGTGTACGGCTTAAAGTGTATGGCTTAAAGTGGTCCTATGGACAGATACTCCAATCTCCGCCGTGGAGCATTGCAGGTCCTTCAGAGTTATCTTTGGTCTCTTTGTTGCCTCTCTGATTAATGCCCTCCTTGCCTGGTCCGTGAGTTTTGGTGGGTGGCCCTCTCTTGGCAGGTTTGTTGTGGTGCCATATTCTCTCCTATTTTTAATAATGGATTTAAATGGTGCTCTGTGGGATGTTCAAAGTTTCTGATATTTTTTTAATAACCCAACCCTGATCTGTACTTCTCCACAACTTTGTCCCTGACCTGTTTGGAGAGCTCCTTGGTCTTCATGGTGTCTCTTGCTTGGTGGTGCCCCTTGCTTAGTGGTGTTGCAGACTCTGGGGCCTTTCAGAACAGGTGTATATATACTCCGATCATGTGACACTTAGATTGCACACAGGTGGACTTTATTTCACTGATTATGTCACTTCTGAAGGTAATTGGTTGCACCAGATCTTATTTAGGGGCTTCATAGCAAAGGGGGTGAATACATATGCACACACCACTTTTCCGTTATTTATTTTTTAGAATTGTTTGAAACTAGTAATTTCTTTCAGTTCACTTCACCAATTTGGACTATTTTGTGTATGTCCATTACATGAAATCCAAATAAAAGTCAATTTAAATTACAGGTAGTAAGGCAACAAAATAGGAAACATGCCAAGGGGGTGAATACTTTCGCAAGCCACTGTACTTAAAACACAAACAACTTTAACCTTTGATGTCTGAGGACAAAAAAATGTTGTTTGAGTAAACATTAGAATTCTGTTGAAGTTAATTGATTTTTCTTTTACTTACAACAAAACATTTTTTTTTACTTTGCAGGCTAAAAATCTTTGTATGGGCTATCTACTCACAAACACTTCACTAGCTAGGTTTCCATCCAATTGGCGACAGGTTTCCATGTGAATATTCTAAAATCCACATAAAAACAATATGCGCATTTTCCATCAAATTGATAAAAGGCTGTGCATGATGACACAATGCACATAAAAATTACTTTTGTGGTTAAAGTCCTATGTACTGAATAAAAAATACAATTTAAAATGGGTTTCCATCGCACTTTCAACTCTACTGATGGTTTTGTAAAACAAATTGTCGCGTTAAATAGCAAATGTGCCCACTCTGGTCTTGGCACGTGTACTCTAGCCAGCTGCTCGAAGATACAGTGCGGATACAGCCTACTACATGATGAGATTATTATTATTTTGATTTGTCAAACGGCAGCCAAGCATCGATCATCATGTCACCAGAATAAGACCCTCGACATTTATTGGAAAGGAGCATCAAGCTCATCATCTTGCACTTTCACCACCTTGTGAAGTTCATCATAACTTACAGTGCTATAAAAAAGTATTTGCCCCCTTTCTAATTTTCTCTACTTTTGCATATTTGTGATACTGAATGTTATCAGATCTTCAACAAAAACCTAATATTAGATAAAGGGAACATAAGTGAACAAATAACACAACTATTACAAATTGTGCCACCTTTAGCTGCAATGACTCCAACCAAATGCTTCCTGTAGTTGTTGATCAGTCTCTCACGTCGCATCAACCATGTCGTCCAAAAAGTTATACTTTTGAATCATCTGTCCATAGAACGTTCTTCCAAGAGTCTTGATGATCATCCAGGTGCTTTTTGGCAAACTTGAGTCAACTTTTTGGACGAGATGGGTCCCATTATGCCTGGCGAAAACCAAACACTGCATTCCACAGTAAGAACATCATACCAAAGGTCAAGCATGGTGGTCGTGGTGTGATGGTTTGGGGATGCTTTGCTGCCTCAGGACCTGGACGACTTGCCTTAATAGAAGGAACCATGAATTCTGCTCTGTATCATAGAATTCTACAGGAGAATGTCAGACCATCCGTCTGTGAGCTGAAGCTGAAGCGCAGCTGGGTCATGCAGCAAGACAATGATCCAAAACACACAATCAAGTCTACATGAAAATTGCTAAAAAGCAACAAATTGGAAGTTTTGGAATGGCCTAGTCAAAGTCCAGACCTAATCCCAATTGAGATGTTGTGGCAGGACTTGAAACGAGCAGTTCATGCTTAAAAACCCACACGTCACTGAGTTAAAGCAGTTCTGCATGGAAGAGTGGGCCAAAATTCCTCCACAGCGACGTGAGAGACTGATCAACAACTACAGGAAGCATTTGGTTGGAGTCATTGCAGCTAAAGGTGGCACAACCAGTTATTGAGTGTAAGGGGGCAATTACTTTTTCACACAGGGGAATTGGGTGTTGCATAACTTTGTTTATGAAATAAATATGTAATTGTTGTGTTATTTGTTCACTTATGTTCCCTTTATCTAATATTAGGTTTTTGTTGAAGATCTGATAACATTCAGTATCACAAATATGCAAAAGTAGAGAAAATTAAAAAGAGGGCAAATACTTTTTCATAGCACTGTATTTCATCTGTAGCCTAATAAACGGCATGCTTTCCAGACGAGTCGAAGTGGAAAGACCACACACCACATCATCGCGTGATTTTTACGTCAAAATGATGGTTATTATATCCATATTTGCGCATAAAGGCATTTCCGCCGCTATGTCACAAAAAGATCCCACCTTGTCTAGCGTATTTTGTTTTGTCGACATTTGGATGGAAACCTGGTTTATGTGAGTAAATACATCTCACATAGTGACCAAGCTAACTGGGACAATCACCACCTGGATCTAGCAGACTAAAAAGACTGAGAATTGCTCTCCATCACACACACATTGTGACTGACTGCCTTACCTGAGTTGGCGCACTCCTGTAGGGCTTTAGCCATCAGTGTGTTGGCGATGTTCTTCAGCCCTGCCCTGAACTCCAGTCTCACCGACTCCAACCTGACAACACACACAAACATGTTACTGTGTGTGTTTTAAGCGTGTGTGTGTGTGTCTGTGTGCGTCCGTCTGTATGTGTCTGTTTGTGTGTAAGTGTAATGCATCTGTATATCTCACCATAGCTCTGGGCTCTGTGGGTTCTTGAGGCGTGATTTCTCCAGGATGGATCTGGCCCTGGTCAGCTGGCCAACCCTCTCCTCCAGACGAGACAGCAGCAGCCACAGGGACATGGAGTGGGGACACTTCTTCAGCTACACGTACGCGGACACACGCAGTTAAGAGGAATCGGTGTTAAACACACATCTGTTTTAAGACTGGATCAATAACTGGGCGACATTGAACTTCAGATAGCCTACTGTCTCTCTAGCTGTATGCATGTATTCTGATATCTCTCATAATCCAGAATGCCCACTCCTGTCTTCACGTCCAATCTCCCTTCCCCCTCTCATCCCCCGGTTGTAGGCCTCCCTGGCCTTCTCTCCCCCTCCTCACCCCCTTGTTGTAGGCCTCCCTGGACTTCTCTCCCCCTCCTCACCCCCTGGTTGTAGGCCTCCCTGGCCTTCTCTCTCCCCTTCCTCACACCCTGGTTGTAGGCCTCTCTCCCCCCTCCTCACCCCCTGGTTGTAGGCCTCCCTGGCCTTCTCGCTTCCCCTCCTCACCCCCTGGTTGTAGGCCTCCCTGGCCTTCTCATTGTTTTCAGACTGCTCCTCTATCTGTCCCCTCATCATCCAGAGCTTGGGGAAGTCCTCGTAGTGTTTCAGAGCCTCGGTACACAGCTCGTGGGCCGCTTCGATGTTCCCCAACACCCACTCCAGCTTAACTGACTTCATAAACACCTGCAATGGGACAAACACACACTCTGTTCATTAACTTTTCATCTTAGTAATTACATTGGAACACTCTTTTCCTTAGCAACATTTCCTTCTGAATAAAAGCTTGCAGAAGAAATAGCAATGAACAACTACATTTTTGGAACTGGAGTAGGCAGTGGCAAGACAACATCACAGACAACCATTTAAAATGTAACTAATATCATGTTGTAATGATGCCAGTTACAACATCCTCAAGCCTAGCCTGGACGTTTCTACCTTCAACAACACCACATTGTTACATTATCTGGCAAGCAATGCTACAATCTCCTGGAGACAGACAACACTTTGGCAGTTTCCCATCCAGTTGTGAATCTAGCAAGCCTGGGCATGGACGCATGGAGAAGACTCCAACTGGATAACGCACCATTACCTTCATAGAATACTTCCTCCCAAAACAAATCTATCTGAGGTCAGGTCCATCTCCATCTCACCAATTCCTGCTGTTCTGTCTGACCGAGAAGCAACCCCTACACACCTAGCACAGCCACCAGCTTCCAGATTCACATTTACCCCTGATAGTAAATGACTGAGGAAACGGTGTGTGTGTGTGTGTACTGTATGTTATCTATATATCCCACTGGGCCATCCTGACAAGACAAATGAGTTTGGAAATATCCCCCTGGGGCTCTAGTTCTCTTTCACCCGACACTGATGTTGATGTTGTGCAAACTGGAAGATGGATGACTGTAGGACTCGTTCTGATTCAGCTCTTTGTATCAATAGAGGAGCCTTGGCTGAGGCTAACAGTTAAAGGTTATGGCTAAATACAGATGTGCAATCTTAATTTGATCACTCTGTTTTCGCAGAGAATTGTCCTGCACTGTAGGAAATACAAATTTCTTTCTAAAGTTTGTAATTTCCCCTTTAAAATGTCAGACTTGATTTGTATCAACACCTACAAAAATGTCCATTAATTATAATCCACATAATAATGAATGTGTCTCGTAGCTGCAAGATTATTTTCCTGCAGTGAGAAACGGGTCAAATTAAGAATAGACATCTGTACAGTGGAGCAGCAGGATATTGTCTTCTGTCCCCCCTCCCCCTCAACTCAAGTCCCGGTCAAGGCTCACACATATGAACCATACACAAGCACCATATTATATATCCTCTATCACACACCCGCTCATCCCACCCATACTCACAAACAACCCAGGGATGCGTCGGACAACGTGACCGGGAAGATTTAAATTTACTGGCCATGACAGAAATAACATTTGGAGTATGATAATGCATCTTAACAGAACATGCAACTCATGTAATGAAGCAGCCAATAAAACATAATCTGTCAAAATGCAGTTCGCGGGAAAATACCATTCTAAACAGCGCACATTGGAAAACACCATTCTAAACAGCGCACCTGATAGCGGTTCCATATGTGACAGAGATGAAAATCTGTTACATTTAGAAAGAGGGGGAATCGAAAGATGCAACAACTATGATTGGGTTGCTAATATGACTAGGGTTGTGCCTTTGGCTTCTGGACAATTAAAGAAAGTTGATATGAAAACCATTAGAACAGGAGAGAAATGGCATAGCGGTGGGTCCAATAGGGAAGTAAATGGAAATAAATTAGCCAAAATTATATAATTACTCCTGTCTATACATAAATAAATAAAATAATTGAAAATACTTCACCAGAAAGCATGACTTAGCCACAGAGGAATCGAGGATCATTAGTTTCTTAAGAAAAATAGCAGTTGGTCATTTCAAAGCACAAGTTTGTAGGCCTATGTCTATTTGGGAAGCCAGCAGCACGCGTGGCAATAGGCCTAGCTGATGATTGAGTTGGAGCAGTCAGCGAAAAGCATCTAAGCACGCATAGAAACAATAAAGTTATTATTGAAATGAAACTGTTCCATGAAAATGCACATATGAAAATCATAACTGGCACACAGAATGGTAGAAATTACAGGATAAATTGTAAGCTTCCCCAAACTTGAAACTCATGCGCCGCCAATGAAGTCTTTATATAATAACTGCCTCCAAGTTTCCACGGTCGGATTTTGACTATAGGCTACTTTGAAGCAAGGTAAGAAATGCCTCATAATATGAAATAAAACATTCAGGTTTCAAACAATGAAGTATGTTTTAAAAATGCATACTGCACTGAGAGCGTGTTGCTCGCACTTGAATGGGAGGCGTGCTTCAATTACCAGTTGAGAAATAAGAATAGTAGCTATTTTTAACGGAGCACCAAAAGGTTTTTTTGCGATTTCATTTAGAATTGTTGTGCAATGAATGGGCTTATAAAAGCACGTTTTACTCCATCAGGAGAAATCCCGCTCAAAATAGGCTCTGTATGCTGGGCGCGTATGATAGCTTTGTTGGATAAATAAGATACATAATGACTAATGAAAATAGGCCAATTTCATTCCACTAAATTATGCACATTAACCTAAAGATCGATAAGCATGGCGGTCAAATGTATTTCTTCGACTGGTATTTCCATCAATGAATAAAAAGCTTTATTTTGCAATGGGATTATTTTCTCCCAGTCATTTTGGCCGGCAACAGTTTTATTTATCGGCTTTTCATTTCGATTTATCGTCCAAAAGCAGCCAATAGCCGGCTAACGGAAACCCTGACCCCCCCCCACACTCTCACACACACACACACACACACACACACACACACACACACACACACACACTCACCCTGGCAGTAGGAGCACTGCTGCGGGCCTTGGCCAGTAGTCGACGTGCTCTCTCATATTCATTATTCTCAGACTCCAGCTTCACAGCAGCCAGCCAGATCTCCTCACTGTTAGGGTTAGCCTGGACACAGACAGATAGGAGGAAAGGTGTTTGACTTCTACCAAATCTTGATTTGCACTTTGCTGTGTACCCTATTGTTATAAAGAAAGATACCGTTGGAATAAGCATGTTTACTCCAGCTAGCAAGGTCATCGTTCCTCTCTCACCTGGAAGGCAAGAGCCAGGATGCTCCGGGCAGCAGGCACGTCCTCAGCCAGCCACTTAGACTTGGCCCCCATCAGCCACAGCACCTCAGCCTTGGGACAGTGAGCCACCGCCCTCTGCAGCAGCGCCTCCAGAGACTCCCTGAGATGGAGGATGATGACACACAGAGGATGATGACACACAGGATGATGACACACAGGAGGGAGGAGGTTGGGTGGATAGTGAGAAGTAAAAGGGTGAAGCGTGGAGAGAAATAAAGGGGGTCAGATGAGAAGAAAATGGGGGAGTGAGAGAGATGTGAGTAAATATAGAGGAGAAATCAAGTGCGGAGAGGGGAAAGAGAGAGATTGAATAAGTCATGGAGAGAAAGTGTAAGAGAGAACAGGCAGGCTTTGAAACAGTGATTGATCATAACTAACCGTATGGGTTTGGTTAGCTAAACTAGCAAGTCTGTTTGTTTGGTTACCAAGGCAACTACTGTCGCTATCTAGTAAATTTGCTAGCTACTTCAGTGGATGTTGAACACATTTATACCGGCAAATGAACACATTTCTAGTGCAAATGTGTTAAATTATAGCCATGGTATGAAACGGATAATCAACTCGGGGCTCTATGCATTCTCTGGAAAATAATGCAACTCCGTGGAAGGTTAGTTCCACTTCGCTAATGTGTCGTTGAACACACCTTACACATCGTTCATTATTTTCCAGAGAACGCATAGCCTCTCGTTGATTAGCCCTTATATAAATAATCACTATTATACAAAATTCAAAGATATAAAAGCAACTAATCAAATGAATTGGCTTCTATTGAATCACTTGCCAATGACAACGTGCCACAGTGATGAAATCTACTCTGAGACAATTACAATCAATAGGTACAGGCATTCAATTCAACTTAGTCTGGTTTCAACACACACACCTGGTGCCGTGGTTCTTCTCGAAGTAGGCTGCGCGTAGCCACACACTCTTCTTGCTAGGGAACATCTGCAGGGCGTGGGCATAGATGGCACGGGCACACTCCAGAGCCCCGTGGGACACACACTGAAATAAAAACGAATTACAGATAATGTATCAAACTATGGACTATGCCATTTGTTTCTAATATAAACTGAGTTTGGGGTATTGAGGAATTAGGTCCAGGGGTATTGAGAGATTAAAGGAGAAGGAAAGGGTGAAAGGTCATCATGCTTACGCTCTCTGCATCCTCCATCCAGGTGTGTTTACAGTCCTCCTCCTCGATGCCGATGCCAATAACTGCCCGGATCACCGCCTGGCACGTTGCCACGCTACCCGCCTTATCACACTCCTCTGCATCCTGGAGACAAGGGGGGAGAGAGTTTTAAAGAATGGGTTGAACGAGGGACAGAGGGGAGGAAAAATGAAAAAACGAGGGAGGGGAGGGAGAAGAATATGGAGAAAAGTTTGAAAGGGAGAGGGGGAGTTGAACGGACGGACAGGATGGAGGGTAAGGAGAGAGCGAGAGAGAACTTGTGCCTTGGACAGTCAGGCAAGCCAGTGGAATGCTGGAGCAACTACAGAGTGACTTATGTGAAAACATGTTCACAAGGATCCTCAACCATTTATAGACGGCTCTCTTAAATAATCTCAGACTTATGGGCGGCTAGGGCTTCAAACTGTACAGGGGAAAAAACATGACATGATCTGTTCTCTTTTGAGTTGAATCAAGCCAGTGTTTGATCTGGCTCTGCAGTGCCAAACCATATACTTAATATTCCCCCTGTGCACTCCAATATAACTCCCATGCCTGTCCCAGAGAACAGTTGATGGACCACTTCACTTTAGAGCCAAGAAAAGAGGGAAAACAAGGGAAAAGAAACAAATACATGAATCCGACAGGTGATTGCAGTCCAAAGCTTTGTTGCACGACAATAAGTGCAAGTGGAACAGAGGTGAAATGCACAGAACTGCACAGAGGTCGGAAAGACATCAGTCACTGACCTGCAGCAAGTGACACACACGCAAAGTGTTTGAGTGCTCCGCTGCTTGTTTTGTGCTGCAGTGATTAAATAAGATGGACGAGACAGTTGTTCCAGCACCTCTGAAGAGAGGAAGTGATTATAGTATCCTTTTACAGAGTGGAGTCAAGGGCAACACAGGCATGATTTGGGTAAAGGGTGAAGACACTTGTCAACATTAGACATTTTGAAAATGCTGGGGTGAAGCAGAAGGCTTTTGGATAATGGCTGCAGGAGACTGTTGTTTATTCAGCGGGTCACAGGAAAATAACAGGAGCTGGAAGTGGGTAACATCACTTTGTGCTTTGGATCACACTGGTGTTTCCTGCTCTAAATTCTCACCACCTCTCTCTCTCTCTCACACACACTTGCTCCCTCTCACCTGTATCCACTGTTCTCTGTTGATCTCGACTCCGTTGGCCCCGAGTGATGTGATGGCTCTGTCAACAATCTTCTCCACCATCTGAGTATTCCCGTTGGCCTCCTCCAGCTTGGCGGCGGTGATCCAGATGTGGCGGTCCGTAGGGATGTTCTCACGGGCCTTGTTCAGGACACGCCTGGCATTCTCATAGGTCTCCAGCCGCGCCAGCGCCAGCCACAACTACACAGGTAGAGGGGGCAGGAAGGTGAGGGAAGGGGGTATTTTCAGATAAGCAGTCAGGGTCAGAATGCAGAATTGTAAGAGACTGGGTCCTTATGAGAATACTGCACAATATCAATGTGTGTGGACCTCCACGCTAGTTGGACAGCACTCCACAGCTCTGCTCAGCATGATCCTGGCATCCTCTGGCTCCTCCAGTTCTACAGCAGTTTTCCACAGACGAACTGACTTAGACACATTCTCCAGAGCTGTGGGAAACACAGAGAGAGGGGTTACACCAGGGGTTCCCAAACATTTTGATATCCCAAAAGAATTCTGCAACCCCACCATATAACAATTGATTTAATCAACAGCCAATGTTTACTTTTATTAATTGGAGCTATGACAGTCTATGACAAAATCAGTCGTAGTATTTTTGACAGTATTCAAATCTGAAGGAAGTATGGTTTGAAGTGACTGAAATGCATCAGAAAGGTAGTGGGAAGTTCAGAAGTTCCTCAGGCAAGATCTATGATCTTCTGTGTAGAAAAGATCATCACCAACCACATATCCATCCACAGTCCTTATGTGAATAAAGGCTTTCTGCATTTAAAAAAATTCACGACAGCTGTGAGGGAAATAGGAAGTTTCGGGACAATTTTATAAATGACGACTGATCATTTGTTTGTTCGACATGGTGGGATCTTTTTGTGTCTGTAAAATTAATTTTACGCGAAATGGCGGTGGAAACGCCTTTATGTGCAAATATTGATATAATAACCATCATATCGAAGTAAACTTGGGAGTCATGCGATGACATGGTGTGTGTGGTCCTCCCACTACGACTCGGGAAACTTCACAGGGTGGTGAAAGTGCACGGTATGACCAGAATAGGCACATTAGCTATTTAACGCAACAGTTCTTGTGACAAAACTATCGGTAGAGTTGAAAATGCGATGGGAACACATTGAACATTCTATTTTTATTTGGTATATGAAAACGTAAGCAAAAAAGTAAATTTTGTGTGCACTGTCATCACACACTGATTTTTATCTGCAACAAGTCAATTTGGTGGAAACACCACTAGTGGGAAAATACACATTTTCTTTATGCAGATTTTTAAAGATTTGCATGAAAATCTGTTGCCAATTGGATGGAAACCTAGCCAAGGATGATTAATTATCTGTACAGATGCCACTGCTGCCATCTTGATTTCCTTGTGTTTTTTTCTCCTCTCTGTTGTCAGCTCCTCAGTCTTCTCCAAGCAGAGCAGGCAGGCCCATTGACCTAGCGATTCCACACAGACACAGCGTGTACACATGCTGCTCCAGAGCCTGTGCTCTTCTTACTTCAGAAAAGCGTGTCAAAACTTTTTTCATTTGCACAATGTCTCTTACTAACATTTGTTTGTAAATGTCCAAACTCAGAAAAAATTACATTCGGTAGCTACAACCGATACTTGTATAACGTTATGAGCTGGATTGCCTGTCTTTGCAATTCATTTATTTTAGTGTGAGCTTGTTAGCCTATTTAGCTAGCAGCCTCTATACACCATTACTTGTGCTAATTTTGTTAGCATTCTGGTAATAGACGCCCAATGGTTTTTTGTTGTTGCATTTTTAGTGCCCCCTTGTGTACTAAGACGGTAATACCTTGAATCCCGGGATGACAGGAGGACAACATGACAATATGAAAATCTGGATATTGCCCAACCTTAAAACACAAAAATCCATGCAAAAACATTTCATAATGTAATCATGGCAATTATCATTTTAATATCAACACTCAATCTTCTAAGCACTCTGTGATGGATAAATAGAGAAGGTTTTTTATTTCTATTTTATTTATTGGGCTCCCGAGAGGCGCAGTGGTCTAAGGCACTGCATCTCAGTGCTTGAGGCGTCACTACAGACCCCTTGGTTCGATTCCAGGCTGTATCACAACCGGCCGTGATTGGGAGTCCCATAGGGCGGCGCACGGCCGGGTTTGGCCGTCATTGTAAATAAGAATTTGTTCTTAACTGACTTGCCTAGTTAAATAAATGTAAAAATAAAATAAAATGGTGAAATACAGAGAGAGCAGCCCAGATATGTAGGGGCTGAACACTTTCAAAGGAAGCATAACATCCAGTCTCTCACAGAGGTATGCTGCTGGGAACAGCACTGTGTGTCTGTGTTTAAAGGAGTGGGGCTCTCTGGCCACCATGACAGAGTGTAAATAGAGGGTGTGTCATGGCTAGAAGTGTCATTTGGGATAAGAAACAAGGTTGGGTACAAACGGAGCGATGGTCTGTTGAACTTTCTATTTCCCTCTTCTCTGTCTTTCCTTTCATCGCTAGTCTAAGCTCAGTAGTCTCAATAGCAGACACTTAAGTCTTGTTCACACTGCAGGCCTTTATGCTCAAATCAGTTTTGTTTTTCCAAATCCTTTTTGGAATACTAACTGTCCAATAGAGCCTGGGTGATATGGTACACCTGTGGTATATTCAATTGATTGGACATGATTTGGAAAGGCACACATCTGTCTATATAAGGTCTCTGAATGTCCTTGAGTTGCCCAGCCAGAGCCCGGACTTGAACCCGATCAAACATCTCTGGAGAGACCTGAAAATAGCTGTGCAGGGACACTCCCCATCCAACCTGACAAAGCTTGAGAGGGTCTGCAGAGAAGAATGGGAGAAACTCCCCAGCCACAGGTGTGCCAAGCTTGTAGTGTCATACCTAAGAAGACTTGAGGCTGTAATCGCTGCCAAAGGTGCTTCAACAAAGTACTGAGTAAAGGGTCACCTCCCTGACCAAGGCCCTTCTCCCCCGATTGCTCAGTTTGGCCGAACGGCCAGCTCTAGGAAGAGTCTTGGTGGTTCCAAACTTCTTCCATTTAAGAATGGTGGAGGCCACTTTGTTCTTGGGGACCTTCAGTGCTGCAGAAATGTTTTTGGTACCCTTCCCCAGATCTGTGCCTCGACACAATCCTGTCTCAGAGCTCTATGGACAATTCCTTCGACCTCATGGCTTGGTTTTTGCTCTGACATGCACTATCAACTGTGGGACCTTATATAGGCAGGTGTGTGCCTTTCCAAATCATGTCCAATCATTTGAATTTACCACAGGTGGACTCCAATCAAGTTGTTGTAGAAACATTTCAAGGATAATCATTGGAAACAGGACGCACCTGAGCTGAATTTCAAGTCTCATAGCAAAGGGTGTGAATACTTATGTAAATAAGGTATACGTTATTATTTTATAATACATTTGCGAAAAATTCTAAAAACCTGTTTTCGCTTTGTCATTATGGGGTATTGTGTTTAGATTGATGAGAAAAATCATTAATTTAATCAATTTTACAATAAGGGTGTAACGTAACAAAATGTTGAAAAAGGGAAGGGGTCTGAATACTTTCCGAATGCACTGTATAGTGTATTTATAACTAACCCAAGATAGTTAATCTGGGTCGTTTACATTGGGGGAAAATGAAGCATAGTGGGCAGAACAAGCAAGGTGGTGGGAAAAGCCAAGAACGAGCTAGCGAGATCCTATTGCCGCATTGTATCATGTATTTGCATATTTATGTTAGGGAACGCCTCCTCTGTGAAGTGTGTGTGTGCACAAACTCAATTCGACCTTGCACTCCTTCTAAACAACTCAATTTTTGGAAACTTTGGAAAAGCGTCAAATCTATAAAACTCAGCGCAATGTGTTCGTAACAGATTTTAGTTTTGGGAACAGAAACATTTATTGAGATAAAATGTTTAATCAATGAGAAAGTTAGCAGATGTCAGCCCAGTTTCACCTATTTCCATCCTCTCCCACTACTGGACCTCCTCTCACTACCATATTCGGTGTTGAGAAAACTTTCTAAACGGATGCATCAGCTTTATAGCCCCTGTGACGTATCTGGGTTACCCCTTCTGTCTGTGGTTAGGGCAAATATTTGTATTACTAACCCAAGATAGACCACAGCCTGTTGTTTCCAATGGGAGAAATTGAATCCTAGTGAGCAGAACAAGCTAGTAGGTGGGCAGAGCCAAGCACGAGCTAGCGAGATCTTATTGGCGCATTCTAGCATATTTCCATTAGGGAACGCCTACCCTGTGAAGTGCGCGTGTGCAATAACTCAATTCGCCCTTGCACTCCTAAAGAACGCAATTTTTTGAAACTTTAGCAAAGGGTAAAGTCTACAAAAAACCTTGTCGACTCTGTTCGTAACAGATTCTAGTTTTGGAAACTGAAAACTGTATTGAGATCAAATGTTTAATTGATGAGAAAATTAGCAGAATGTCGGCCAAAATCCATCTAATTTTTACATTTTAGTAATTTAGCAGACGCTCTTATCCAGAGCGACTTACAGTTAGTGAGTGCATAAATAAAAAAAAAATCATACTGGTCCCCCGTGGGAAACGAACCCACAACCCTGGCGTTGCAAATGCCATGCTCTATCAACTGAGCTACACGGGACTACTTCTCCCACTGCCAGCCACTGGGCATCCTGTCATCACCATATTTGGTAGTGCGTGGAAACGCCAACCGGATGCTTCACATTTATACATCCGGTGAAATATCTCACTCATTGTTCTATCCGTAGATAGGGTTTAGCGTAGGGACGTCCCAAGGATCCAAGATAGCACTAACCCTCAGTAGACGTCGTCAAGTACTCTCACACAGCTAGCTAGCTGGCTAGCTTGTACTCGTCACGGAAATGGGGACGGCGATTGGCGAAACATGAATTAGGACCAGTCCCTATCAAGTGACAATGAACCCATACATCAAAACGAAGCTACAAAGTGCTACTTTGTAACCAGTAAAGTTTTTTGTGTGTCTCTGAAAACATTCGAATGACAGAGCTTGAGGAATACCCTTCACAAACAGCAAATAATTTATAACACAACAGATTGCGCTGGCTTCAATAAAGGCCTATAACGTTGTTACCACAGAGTTGAACTTCTTAGCACGGCACTTACTTTACATTTGGGCATTGCATCCATTATTTGTCCCGACACCCTACCATGACACTTAATGTAACAGTATATGGCCTGTGCGCATTTTTGGCACTTTATTGAGCTGGCAAGCTTCTATCCACTCAGCACTCACGGTAGAAGCAGTAAGACTAAGAGCTAGTTCACTCTCCTCTCTGACTGGTGTAGTTGCGTTGGTCCGGTGGTAGTGTCCAGTCTTAGTGTAGCGCACCATGGCAAGATAGGCTTATAGCCATGTAGGACAAATAATGAAATGCTCAAAGTCCAATTCTAGTGAAGAACAGCTTTTTTGACGAGCATTTTCTCAGCATCTTATATTGGTCCTTTTCAATGGATTAAACAACGATACAAATACATCGGTAAAAGGCTAATATCGGCCGATAATATCGGTCAACTGATAAATCGGTCGGGGCTCTCCTGTCCAAAGAGCAGGTTACAGGACCAAATCAGATGCGTGTTCAGGCAGCAGTCATTTGCTGACGCTACACTAGTTGTCATAGTAATGACAGGTGTGGCACAGTGGTGTAGGCTGATAACTTCCAATCAATCAAAAGGTATGTAGCAAGCTAAGCTGCCATTGGCTGTTCAGACAGCAAGAAAAATAACAGATTCGAATCGGATATGCAAAACAAATTGATTTGAGTCACTTCAAACTGCCAATGTGAACAAGGCTTTACAGGTCTCAACAGGAACTGGTTTGCATCATTGTAGCTTTGACAGGGCACAAACATCTCACCCTTCCTGAGGACGCGTTTCTTGGCCCTGACGTCCGTCTCCAGCTCGGCTGCTCTGATGTAGATGCGGACAGACCCGGGGAGGTGACGCACCGCCTGGGCCACCACTGCCTTGGCTGTGTCCCCTGGCTGCAGCCTGGCGGCCTCCAGCCACACATCCTCACTCTGGGGACAAAACACACACATTGCCTGGGTCACCACTGCCTTGGCTGAGTCACCAGGCTGTAGCCTAGCAGTCACATCCATCAATGAGGTGAAGTTTTTGAGCTCTATCATTAGTCTGTAGTAATGTGCAGGTTACAGACAGCCAGAGAGACCTCTAGGCTAGACCTATCTATCATCTAATACAGGGTAATCAGGCCAGCCCATTGTTAATGTCTGGAAATCTAACCAGGCCAGCACAGACACTGACAGGTGGAGAAATTCAATGCCTCATTTAAAAACTAAAAAGTGCGCCCACAAATATACAGATAAGCATCATGGGAAGCAAGAAGTATACTTTGAAAATATACTTTACAGTTTGTATGTGTTACCTTGGGACACATCTCAGTGCCCTTCATGATGAGGTTCCGGGCCACCTGTAGTTTCCCTGTGACCTCCTCTAGCCTGGCCGAGGCGATCCAGGCGGGGGGGTGGTGGGGGTTGGTCTCCCTCACTGACTTCAGCAGCAGACGGGCCTTCTTAATGTCACTGCGCATTCACAAGAAGACAGTCAACAATACAGCCAGAGATATAGATAAGCAACAAATGTGTGTCCGTAGCTTAGCTCAGAGTGTGTGTGTGTGTTTATTGTCCGGGCCACTCACCTGATGTCTCCTCCGTGCGTGGGGATCATAGAGTTTAGGTCAGTGAGGTAACCTTTAGGATCCACCACCGTCTGTCCACTCACAGAGTCAGACACCTGAGAGGAGAGAGATGGAGATCAGCACAGATATACAAAAACAGGAAAAGTTATACTGGGGATCACATGCTTCCTGGAGACTTTTGATACCATCTGACAGCATTTGATAGCATCTGACCAGTCCCTTCCATAACATATACAGTGAGCTCAAAAACTAAATTGGGACAGAGACACATTTTTTGTTGTTATACAGTGCTATGAAAAAGTATTTGCCCCCTTTCTAATTTTCTAAAAGTAATTGCCCCCTTATACTCAATAACTGGTTGTGCCGCCTTTAGCTGCAATGACTCCAACCAAATGCTTCCTGTAGTTGTTGATCAGTCTCTCACGTCGCTGTGGAGGAATTTTGGCCCACTCTTCCATACAGAACTGCTTTAACTCAGTGACGTGTGGGTTTTCAAGCATGGGCCAAAATTCCTCCAAAGCGACGTGAGAGACTGATCAACAACTACAGGAAGCATTTGGTTGGAGTCATTGCAGCTAAAGGCGGCACAACCAGTTATTGAGTGTAAGGGGGCAATTACTTTTTCACACAGGGGAATTGGGTGTTGCATAACTTTGTTTATGAAATAAATATGTAATTGTTGTGTTATTTGTTCACTTATGTTCCCTTTATCTAATATTAGGTTTTGGTTGAAGATCTGATAACATTCAGTATCACAAATATGCAAAAGTAGAGAAAATTAGAAAGGGGGCAAATACTTTTTCATAGCACTGTAGCTCTGTACTCCAGCACTTTAGATATGAAATGATATAATGACTAGTTAGTGCAGACTGTCAGCTTTAATATGAGGCTATTTTCATCCATATCGGGTGAACCGTTTAGAAATTACAGCACTTCTTGTACATTGTCCAATTCACTTAAATGTGTATTATAGAAGTCAACATTTTTGTATTTGGTCCCATATTCCTAGCACACAATGACTACATTAAGCTTGTGACTCTACAAACTTGTTGGATGCATTTGATGTTTGTTTTGGTTGTGTTTCAGATGATTTTGTGCCCAATATAAATTAAATGGCAAATAATGTAGTGTCATTTTGGAGTCACTTTTATTGTAAATAAGAATATAATATGTTTCTAAACACTTCTACATTAATGTGGATGCTACCATGATTACGGGTAGTCCTGAATGAATTGTGAATAATGATAATTGAGGATGTTAGACACACAAATATCATACCCCCAAGACATGCTAACCTCTCACCATTACAATAACAGGGGAGGGTACAATTTTTTGGGGGGGGGGTATGATACATTATTTACCATTCATTTCTATTGGGCACAAAATAATCTGAAACACAACCAAAACAAACAGCAAATGTATCCAACAAGTTTGTAAGCCTATCTAGTAATCATTGCGCGCTAGGAATATGGCACCAAACACTAAACTTTTGACTACTTTAATACATATAAGTGTATTTGTCCCAATACTTTTGTACGATCTTCACCTGATGTTTAACATTTTTTATTATTTTTTTAGTCATTTACCAGACACTTTTATCCAGAGCGACTTACAAGAGCAATTAGGGTTAAGTGCCTTCCTCAAGGGCACCAACAGATTTTTCACCTAGTCTGCTCGGGTATTCGAACCAGCAACCTTTCGGTTACTGGCCCAACGCTCTTAACCACTAGACTACCTGTGACCCAATATAGATGAAAATACCTTCAAATGAAAGCTGACAGTCTGCACTTTAACCTCATAATCATTGTATCATTTCAAATCCAAAGTGAATTAAAAAATAAATACTGTCCCAATACTTTTGGAGCGCACTGTAGGTTGGTGAATAACAGTCAAACTAGACAAGTTACACACAAGCTTTTAAGTCAGTAGGACAAAGTCAGTAGGACTAAGTCAGTAGGACTAAGTCAGTAGGACAAAGTGGTGCGTTACCTGGCTGAGCCTCATGTCCATCAGTGTGTTCCTGGCCTGGCCGATCTTCCTCATGTCCAGCTCTCCTGTCCCAGGGGTCATCAGGCCGGGGGTCATCCCCCCAGGGTACGGGCTTTCCAGACCACCTGGGAGGTTCAACTGGAGACAGGGAACCAAAACAACAAATAAGTGTCTGGATGAGAAAGTAGCCTAGAAAGACTTTTGGCATGGGTAGGATTAGGGCTGTGGCAGTCATGACATTTTGTCAGCCGGTTATTGTCATGCAGAAGACTGCCGGTCTCAAGGTAATTGACCGTTAATTAACAAAAACGTTCAGCATCTCCAGGCCTCCACATATACGCGCCTTTGGAACTTCTACATTTAAATTGTCTAATAAATCAAATTAATATACACCATCGCAATCAATCAATTATTTATTTTAGTAAGGTCTAAAAAAAGATGAAATGAAGAAAATGTATTTCAGAAGAATATAATATGAGTTGGCCTACAGTATGTTAGATATCTGGCTATGCTCCATGCCATAGGCTTGTTCATTTAGCTGACAAGATCTGCTTATAAGTCCTGTGCCATTATTTTATTTTATCTGATTTTATAGTAAAAAGAATATAATTGAACTGATATTAGAAAGGATATGTTTCCCATTAAAGAGCGAGTGCGCATATGAAGGGGCTATGTTGTGTGTAAAAGTGATCATTTGAAACAGGTCCTACAGTGCCTTGCAAAAGTATTCATCCCCCTTGGCGTTTTTCCTATTTTGTTGCATTACAACCTGTAATTTAAATTGATTTTTTATTTGGATTTCATGTAATGGACATACACAAAATAGTCAAAATTGGTGAAGTGAAATGAAAATAATTACTTGTTTCAAAAAATTCTAAAAAATAAATAACGGAAATGTATTCACACCCTTTGCTATGAAGCCCCTAAATAAAATCTGGTGCAACCAATTACCTTCAGAAGTCACATAACATAATTAGTTAAATAAAGTCCACCTGTGTGCAATCTAAGTGTCACATGATCTCAGTATATCTACACCTGTTCTGAAAGGCCCCAGAGTCTGCAACAACACTAAGCAAGCGGCACCATGAAAACCAAGGAGCTCTCCAAACAGGTCAGAGACAAAGTTGTGGAGAAGTACAGATCAGGGTTGGGTTATAAAAAAATATCAGAAACTTTGAACATCCCACGGAGCACCATTAAATCCATTATTAAAAAATTGAAAGAATATGGCACCACAACAAACCTGCCAAGAGAGGGCCGCCCACCAAAACTCACAGCCCAGGCAAGGAGGGCATTATTCAGAGAGGCAACAAAGAGGCCAAAGATTACCCTGAAGGAGCTGCAAAGCTTCACAGCGGAGATTGGAGTCACTGTCCATAGGACCACTTTAAGTCGTACACTCCAGAGCTGGGCTTTACGGAAGAGTGGCCAGAAAAAAGCCATTGCTTAAAGAAAAAAATAAGCAAATACGTTTGGTGTTCCCCAAAAGGCATGTGGGAGACTCCTCAAACATATGGAAGAAGGTACTCTGGTCAGATGAGACTAAAATTGAGCTTTTTGACCATCAAGGAAAATGTTATGTCTGGCGCAAGCCCAACACCTCTCATCACCCCGAGAACAGCATCCCCACAGTGAAGCATGGTGGTTGCAGCATCATGCTGTGGGGATGTTTTTCCATCGGCAGGGACTGGGAAACTGGTCAGAATTTAAGGAATGATGGATGGCACTAAATACAGGGAAATTCTTGAGGGAAACCTGTTTCAGTCTTCCAGAGATTTGAGACTGGTACGGAGGTTCACCTTCCAGCAGGACAATGACCCTAAGCATACTGCTAAAGCCACACTCGAGTGGTTTAAGGGGAAATGTTTAAATGCCTTGGAATGGCCTAGTCAAAGCCCAGACATCAATCCAATTGAGAATCTGTGGTATGACTTAAAGATTGCTGTACTACCAGCGGAACTCATCCAACATGAAGGAGCTGGAGCAGTTTTGCCTTGAAGAATGGGCAAAAATCCCAGTGGCTAGATGTGCCAAGCTTATAGAGACATACCCCAAGAGACTTGCAGCTGTAATTGCTGCAAAAGGTGGCTCTACAAAGTATTGACTTTGGGGGGGGGGGGGGGGGGGGGGGGGGGTGAATAGTTATGTACGCTCAAGTTCTGTTTTTTGTCTTATTTCTTGTTTGTTTCACACCAGAAATTATTTTGCATCTTCAAAGTGGTAGGCATGTTGTGTAAATCAAATGATACAACCCCCCAAAAATAAATTTTAATTCCAGGTTGTAAGGCAACAAAATAGGAAAAATGCCAAGGGGGGTGAATACTTTCGCAAGCCAATGTATATGCTAGATTTAGAGTTATTTGGCAACTTTAGTTGTGAATGATACAAACCTTAGAATGCCTTAGAAATCAGAACATATATGGGATGCATGGTGCGACTATAGGCTATTGATTTGAGAAAGTAGCAAAAAATGTTTGCTCTCTGTTCCTTGCCTCAGGCTGCACAGCTGTTCTCTCATCAAGTGATCATATTTTCACCCATCAGACTATTCTCAATTTAATAATGTCTTAGGCACTGCATCTCAGTGCTTGAGGCGTCACTACAGACCCCCTGGTTCGATTCCAGGCTGTATCACAACTGGCCGTGATTGGGAGTCCCATAGGACGGCGCACAATTGGCCCAGTGTCGTCCGGGTTTGGCCGGTGTAGGCCGTCATTGTAAATAAAAATGTGTTCTTAACTGACTTGCCTAGTTAAATAAAGGTTAAATAAAAAAAATATGTAAAATTCGTTTCAATTTAGAATGGCCCATTATCAAATGGGCAGGGGAAAAGGACATGTCATCTGTATGCACTCGAATAGTGAATGGAGGCCTCGCGCTTTCCCGCCTGTCCGTTTTGTAGGCCACTTCGGTTTTATAGCGGAGCTGTGCTTAATATGAGCAGCTGAGAAATAAACATAAGAACAATTATTTCACTCTACGCATCAACCACTGTTTGAGGAACATGCTCTCACTGCCCGATGGGATATTCCGCCCAAACTCTGTATGGCATGGGCTCTCCAACCTTGTTCCTGCAGCTACCCAGTGCTTAATTTGAAATCTGTTCGGGAACATCAATAGTAACATGTTTTCATAAAACTAATTTCACTAAACTGTTGACAGCCCGTCTGCGCGCTAAAGAAAGGAATAAAGGAGAGAGAGAGAGGAGATGGAAACGCGTGGTGGTGAGATATTATGTATAGCTGAAGGTAATGTGTAACTGAATTAATTATGAAAATACAAAAAAAAGCCCTATTACTAGGCTATTCTAATTCAAATACATATTCACTAATTGAAGGCTAACTGCAAGCCGCCCTGCACAATCAATGAACCAACAGCATCGCCTAGGGCTATACGTTCTCTCCCAGACTCATGGATATACATTTGGGAGTATAAGGTAACCAGTCCATCCAGTATGCATAATAATACAATCCACACTACTAGATTACTAGAATTTGTTTAACTTTGGAGTATAGGCTAGACCAATTATGTACCGAAGACATCTTAAATCAGTTTTGTTATGTTTTTCTGCCATGCGTAATATGTGGTAGGCTATGTATTGTATAAGGGCACAATCATCATTTTAATTCTGTTTTTTTTTTGGGGGGGGGGGGGGGGGGGGGGGGGGGGCTTGGCCTATGCATAAGCTCTAATAGTATGGGTCTTTTGAATTAATCATCACCGTAGAAAGTGCTGTCAATTTCGTTGTGTTAGGCTTTGAAACAACATCCACAACAAACATTTTTAACTGTTTCAACCTGCTGTTGAACTTCTTTCTTCAAATTGATCATCACAGTGAGGTGAGTTTTAAAAGTATGATAGGCCTACTGTTTTGATGATAAGTGTTTGATGCGATTTTAAATTGCATTTGCAATGACGTCAGAGTGGTTAGAGGGACAATAGAGCCCTGAGTACCTGGCCATTAGCGACCTGATGGTCGTTAGTGAGTTGGGTACTACCAAAGCATGTCCAGAATGCATAAGAGGAGATTACCATGACTCAACGGTCACGTGGAATTTTACTGCGGTCATGACTCATGTCTGCCGGTGTGACGGTAATACAGTCACCGCAACAGCGCTAGGTAGGATTTGGAGAATGTTTCAGTGGTAGAAGTTGACTCCTACAGGCACATAATGAAACTGCAACACGTGACAAAACAGAGAGAGTATGGTATGGGAGTATGGTCATGCATGACCCTTAGAAGTTGGTGAGTATGCTTGAGTGTGTGTGCGCTTCTGTGTGTGTAACGTTACTAACCCCCTGCAGTGGGTCCACGGTGGTGTGCTTGTCTCCTGTGGTCAGGTGTTTGGAGAAGAAGCTGTCTGGTACAGGGGTGAGTTTCTCATAGCGCGGGTTCCTCTGGCGCTTGTTCCTGGCATCGCCAACCTCCGGGATACTCAGCCACTCCTCATCTGACATTCCTGACAGCTTCCTCTACACACAGAGACAGAGAGAGAGAGAGAGAGAATGAAGAGTAGGATAATATACTTATTGCTTCAATGTCATTGTCCATTAAGAGATGGAAAGATTTAAAGTTAGGACTGCTCGGAGAGAGTACAGGAGAGTTGACTGATGTCATGAAAACAAAGTGACCAACCTTGAGGTCAGAGAACTGCTGCTGGATCTTGGGGCGCTCCATACGGTACTTCTCTATCTCATCCTTCTCCCTCAGCTCCCTGGGGACCACACAGGACAGACTGGGTTAACACAACAGAGCAGTAACCCACACAAAAACCCACGCTAATGAACACATGATGTCTCTTCTCTCACCTCCTCTCCTTGCGTCGTTCGTCCATCCTCTTGTCCAGAGCTGCGTAGATGGCATCTGCCTCCTCGTCGTCTTTCTCATAGGGCCCACTGGAGAACAGACTGCCAGCATAGCCGTTGAACTGAGACAAAGAGGAGAGAGGCAAATGTTACTATACTTGTGAGCTGAGCTTTCTCTGAGCTTGTTCTTGGGTGTCATGTATAAACAAGCACCTCATCATAGTTGGTGTCGTTCAGATCCTCTTCGTCGTCTTCCTGGTTCTTCTTCATCTTGTCCCCCACCGTCCTCTGCCCTGGGGGAGCATGGCGGTCATCCACCGGGTCATTGGCATCTCGAGCGGGACCGATATCAGACCGGGTGGTGAAACCTGTGGCTCTGGAGACAGAAGAGATGGCGTTAGATGGAGAGATTCAACAACAGACTAGAACATTATTCTTCAATCTAGCCATCAGATCCGACCCGCTTGCTTACAGCTGCACTAGGGTTGGACAGGCTTCCTGTGTAGATTATTACACAGCAGAGCAGGCGCTATACTCCGAATTGCCCCATTATCCCAACTGAACTGTTTCACAGAGAAGATTAAACGACTGCTAAAAAAACTAGCAGTCGTTTTTTTTTTGTCATTTAGCAGACGCTCTTATCCAGAGCGACTTACAGTTAGTGAGTGCACACATTTTTGTTTATTTTTATTTTTTCATACCCAACGTGGGAAACGAACCCACAACCCTGGCGTTGCAAACGCCATGCTCCACCAACTGAGCTACATCCCTGCCGGCCATTCCTTCCCCTACTCTGGACGACGCTGGGCCAATTATGCGCCGCCCCATGGGTCTCCCGGTCGCGGCCGGCTACGACAGAGCCTGGATTCGAACCAGGATCTCTAGTGGCAGATCTGCAATGCAGTGTCCTAGACCACTGCGCCACTCGGAGGCAATCTTCTCTGTGTAACAGTTCAGTTCAGTTGGGATAATGGGGCAATTCGGAATACAATGCATTTCTCATCCCGGGATTGAGGTACATTTTCCGAGCCATATCTCGGGTCGGCTCTGCTGTGTCTTAATCTACACTGGAAGTCTGTCTGACCCTAGTGCAGTTGTAAGCAAATTGGTCAGATCTGCTGGCTATCTTCAAAACTGGTCCTGGAGACCCACAGCCTCTGTAGGTTTTTGTTTCAGTCTGGTTCTGGAGTGTTTACACACTAAACATTGCATTGGCGTTAGTTAATAACAAGAAAGAAGGAATTTTAGATGTAATGCATCGTAACTATATTAGCAAGATTTAGGTAAAAGTACTTGATTGCCAGCAACATTCAAGATTGTTTTCCAGTCAAAGGTAGCTTAGGTACTGTGGTTAGCTAACATCATGCCTACTTACCCTCTGCCGAGTCCAGGCACATAGCCTAGCGGCGCGGCCATCCCAAGGAAGGGCTTTTTCTTCTTGCCCATGAGCGGAGAGGACATGGGCATTGGCGGGGGCTCGGCATTACGCCCGCCACCCCGGCCACCTCCAGAGCCTCTACCAGAATTCTGCCCGCCGCCCCCGAAGCCTCTACCATCGTTCTGCCCGCGGCCCCCGGAACCTCTACCGAAATTCTGTCCGCCGCCCCTGGAACCTCTACCATCATTTTGATTTCTGTTATTATAGTTTCCATCTCTGCTAGCCATCGTTGCTAGTACTGAAGACAACGCGGTTTACTCACTGAGGTATAATAAGAACGGGTTCACTTCCGGAATAATCTTCTTCGTGTGAGTTTCCGGAAGACTGGACATTTTGGGAATAATAACATACGCACTTCCTTTTACAATCATGGCATTGGCCTGCAGCAGCGCCCCCTGTGGTGCACCACAACTACTACTGCCATGCTCTACCAGCAGAGTGCAGCAAGACCACAGGAAAATGTGCAGGCTAGAAGAATAGCCTACTTTAGGTCCATTGCACATATCCCAGACATGGCAACTGGAAATGGGAGTCTAAATGGTTTATTAAGTCTACCTGTAACTACAGGGAATAAGTTAATCTGCTTGCCCCTCATCAACAGAAGCTCATTAGGCTACCTCAACCTATCTGGTTTGACTGCCAGGTCAATTTGAGTCTGCATTTCACCATTATTGACATAATGAAAGTCGACGCTGTCCTATTTCTTGAGAGAACCAATTAAAAAACACAGCTGATTGGCCCACACATTTTAAACAGTGTTCTAAAATTAATTGGCATACATTTTGACAGAGATGCATTAGCTAATATATATCGAACCAGGCTAACATGGACACTAAAGCCTTTTTGGGCAGTCCATTGTCAATCACAGGACGGGCTCACTGCAATAAATGTAATTACGATCTAATATGACGTTTCTGTGTTGTCTGTCTTGAAATGAAGTATCTCCGCCTATGCACCAATTTTATTCCATCACCTTTAACTTCAGCCATCTACAGACAAGGCCTCAGCATTTTCATTTCTCTTCATTTCATTTGCCTCCAGGGCAGACATTATTTCACTTCTGGGAGAAGATCCTGTGGTGAAAATGGGCTGTCAGCTGCATTAGAGGATGTATGGCTTCAACAGCCCAGAACCATTTCACAGATCCAAAGAGCCACATGGGGCAAAACTTTACGGACCTGGTTTCAGTTAACCATTGCCGAGGTGAATGGAGATAGTTGATTGCCTGTATATTCTTCATACAAAATTATGATAGATTGTCTAACTGGAATATGTTTAACTTTGCCCCAAAGTAGAATGCTACCATCCCCAGAGTGTGCCAACTTGTGTTCCAGCCCAGTATTAATGTACCTGATTCAACTGATCATCATGTTCTTGACTAGAATCAGGTGTTATAGTACTCGGTTGGAACAAAACCCTGCATTCAATGTGGATCCCCCAAGTTACAGTACTGAGTAACACTGGAAGTAGACATCCTCATGCGCTCCTCTGTCTGTCTGTCTGTTTGTGATCCAGCGATCCAGGTCCGTGTCATTAGAGGGAAACCACCCGTCAGTAATGTTGATTGAGGTTAATGATCAAGAAAACCCTGCGTGTCAAACCCAGGTCCACATCTAATCCCCTGGTTACTGTTCTGAATGCATTCGATCCCCTTTGTTTGAGGTCAGCGTTGGCAGATGCAGATATGGGTCAATGCCAGATGAAATCAGTGGACGAGCACTGAGTCGCAATAAAAGGTATTTTTGGAACTTGCATCATCTTGTTTTTTCTTTATGTGTTGTAGGATATTTGTGGTAAACAAGCTGCATCTCTCTGCCGACACACACATACACAAATACACACACACACACACACACACACACACACACACACACACACACACACACACACACAAAGAGAGTCTGGCATGGCGGTGGCCCTGGTAGCCAGCAGAGAGAATGGATGTTGTCTCCCTTTGATGGATTACAGGCAATATTCACACTGGGCTAAAGGCTAGAGCTACCGATTACAAGGAACGGGACACAGACATAGACGAAAGAAAGTCCACTACGACCTCCAACAAGACATCAAACATTCAAAATGACAATATACACTGAGTGGACAAAACATTAGGAACACCTTCCTAATATTGAGTTGCACCCCCTTTGCCCTCAGAACAGCCTCAATTCGTCGGGGCATGGACTCTTCAAGGTGTCGAACGCGTTCCACAGGGATACTGGCTCATGTTGACTACAATTCAACTCTCTCTCTCTACCGCACCTGGTATTTCAACCTCGAAATGCCCGGCTATGAAAAGCCAAGTGACGTTTACTCCTGATGTGCTGACCTGTTGCAACCTCTACAACCACTGTGATTATTATTTGACCTTTCTGGTCATCTATGAACGTTTGAACATCTTGGAGAAAAATCTGGCCTTAATGGCCATGTACTGTTATAATCTCCACCCGGCACAGCCAGAAGGGGACTGGCCACCCCTCAGAGCCTGGTTCCTCTCAAGGTTTCTTCCTAGGTGTCTGCCTTTCTAGGGAGTTTTTCCTAGCCACCGTGCTTCTACATCTGCATTGCTTGCTGTTTGGGGTTTTAGGCTGGGTTTCTGTACAGCACTTTGTGACATCTGCTGATGTAATAATAAATAAAATTATAAATAAAATTTGATTGAAATTTGAATGCTTTCCACAATTTTGTCAAGTTGGCTGGATGTCCTTTGGGTTGTGGACCATTCTTGATACACATGAGAAACTGTTGAGCGTGAAAAACCCAGCAGCGTTGCAGTTCTTGACAGACACCGGTGCGCCTGGCACCTACTACCATACCCCATTCAAAGGCACTTAAATCATTTGTCTTGCCCATTCACCCTCTGAATGGCACCATACACAATCCATGTATCAATTGTCTCATGGCTTAAAAATCCTTCTTTAACCTGTCTCCTCCCCTTCATCTACACTGATTGAAGTGGATTTAACAGGTGACATTAATAAGGGATCATAGCTTTCACCTGGATTCACCTGGTCAGTCTTTGTCATAGAAAGAGCAGGTGTTCTAATGTTTTGTACACTCAGTGTAGGAGAAAGGTGGAATCCTATTACACCGGCTCTGACGCTCGGCGTATGTGGCAGGGCTTGCAGACGATAATGGATTACAGAGGGAAACCCAGCCGTAAGATGCCCAGTGATGCAGAACTTCAAAAGGAGCTAAATGCCTTTTATGCTCGCTTCGAGGAATACAACACTGAGTCTTGCGTGAAAGACCCTTTTGTTCCAGATGACTGTGTGATCTCGCTCTCAGTGATCACACAGTCCTAACACTCGCACAGGTTAACAGTCGCAAGGCCATACCAGGGCGCGTTCTCAAAGTATGCGCAGACCAGCTGGCATGTGTCTTCACGGATATTTTCAATTTCTCCTTGTCCCAGTCTGTAATTCCAACATGTTTCAACCTGACCACCATTGTCCTGGTTCCCAAGAACTCCAAGGCAACCTGCCTAAATGACTATCGCCTTGTAGCATTCACATCTGTAATTATGAAGTGAAAGGCTGGTCATGACACACATCAACACCATCATCCCAGACACCCTGGACCCACTCCAATTCGCATACCACCCCAACAGATCCACAGATGCCGCAATCTCAATTGCACTTCACACTGCCCGCTCCCACCTGGACAAGAGGGGAGATAACTATGTGAGAATGCTGTTCATAGACTACAGATCAGCGTTCAACATAATAGTCCCCTCCAAGCTCATCATCAAGCTGGAGACCCTGGGACTGAACACCTCCCTCTGCGACTTCCTGACGGGCCGTCCCCAGGTGGTGAGTGTAGGCAACAACACCTGTATGCTGACCATCAACACGGGGGCCCCAAAGGGGTGTGTGCTTAGTCCCTGACTGTACTCCCTGTTCACCCACGACTGGGTGGCCACGCAGGACTCCAACACCATCATCAGGTTTGCTGACGGCACAACGGTGTTAGGCCTGATCACCACAGCGATGAGACAGCCTACAGGGAGGAGGTCAGAGACTTAGCAGTGTTTTGCCAGGACAACAACCTCTCTCTCAACTTCAGTAATGTCAAGGAGCTGATCATGGACTATAGGAGAAAGAGGGGAGAGCAGGCCCCCATCCACATTGACAGGGCTGTAGTGGAGCGGGTCGAGAACTTCAAGTTCCTTGGCGTCTACATCACTAAGGGCTTAACATGGTCCACACACACCCGCACAGTCGTGAAGAGGGCACGACAGTGCCTCTTCAACCCTCAGGAGGCTGAAAAGATTTGACGTGAGCCCTTGGATCCTCAAAAAGTTCTACATCTGCACCATCGAAAGCATCTTGGTTGGCTGCATCACCGCTTGGTATGGCAAAACGCAAACCGTTACAGAGGGTGGTGCGGACAGACCAGTACATCACTGGGGCCCCAGCCGACCAAGTCATAGACTATTCACTCTGCTACCATCCGGAAAACGGTACCGGAACATCGGCTCTTGGACCAACAGGCTCCAAGACAGCTTCTATCCCCAAGCCATAAGACTGCTAAATAGTTAATTCAATGGTTCCCCAGACTATCTGAAATGACCCTATGTAGCACTGACTCTATGCACACTCACAAGACTATATATGCACACCATATACACACTCACTCACACACACTACACTGACACTGACACTCTCACAGAAAACCCCCACACATTCACATACACTACATTCTTAGAAAAATAGGTGCTATCTAGAATCTAAAACGGTTCTTCTGCTGTCACCATAGGAGAACGTTTTGAAGAACCCTATTTGGTTCCAGGTAAAACCCTTTTGGGTCCCATGTAAAACCCTTTCCACAGAGGGTTCTTGTCAGGATGTCAGTGTGATGCGGTAGGACGAAGTCAGGCTAATCGAAAACATACTTTACTCCTAGGTAACGTCAAATAACATAACCTCCACGCAGGGAGGAAACAAACCCGCTCACCAGACGACAACCAAACATGAACAAACACACACAACATACAGTGGGAGCCAGAGGGTTAAATAGGGCAGTGATCAATGATAATGGGAAACAGGTGTGAACAATCAAGACAAGACAAGTAGAACACAGAAACATAGATCGGTGGCAGCTAGTACTCCGGTGACGACGAACGCCGAAGCCTGCCCGAGCAAGAAGGAGGAGCAGCCTCGGCTGAATCCGTGACAGTACCCCCCCCTCCCTTGACGCGCGGCTCCAGCCATGCGCCGACACCGGCCTCAGGGACGGCCAGGAGGATGCGGCGCAGGGCGAGTCGGATGACGACGGTGGAAATCCCTCAACATGGAGGGATCGAGGATGTCCCTCCTAGGGACCCAGCACCGTTCCTCCGGACCGTAACCCCTCCCACTCCACGAGATACTGCAGGCCCCACACCCGACTCCTCGAATCCAGGATGGAAC